GATGTAGTATGGTGTAGTATGGTGTAGTATGGTGTAGTATGGTGTAGTATGGTGTAGTATGGTGTAGTATGATGTAGTATGGTGTAGTATGGTGTAGTATGGTGTAGTATGGTGTAGTATGGTGTAGAATGGTGTAGAATGGTACTGTACAGGAGAATTAGGACATTGTTATAGTTTCATCAAGTAAATACAATATGGTATGTCAGCATTTATATTGTATTGCTTAATTGATTTCTTGCATTACTTTGATTTATAGTATAGAATAGTTTATTTCATAAATCATGTCCTTTCTCTAGATGTATGTTGTAAGAAATAAAGAAATGAATAAAATATCACTTGTATTTTATTGTTATTATATAAAATGAAGGGGGGTTTAATCTGGCCTATGGGGGGTTAAACTAGCCTATAGGCCAGTTTATACCCGGGGTATGATCTGGCCTAGGTTACTTTTTACCTGGGTATATTCTGGCGGGGAGTTGAACTGGCCTGCTACACCGCTTCTACTGTATGTATGGGCCCCAGGATGACGTCTCCTGATACGACACGCCCCTTTGCACATTTACTTTATGTGATCAATCTTTGCTGTGTTAGTCTGAGCAGGGACAGGGAGAGCGCCTGGTTGACCTCCATAGGTTATAAGCCGGTAGTGACAGATTTTTGGCTCAGCTCATAGGGAAACTCAGGGATAGGAGCTGAAAGAATCTTCCATTAGTATTTAATTGTAAAGAGAATTAAATATTGTTTTATTGAACTCTTGAATATCTTGGTCTTCTTTTCTGGTCAAATTCTGAATTACGTCCTGGCATCAATTTTGATGGGTCATTATCATCATTGACCTTCCTGTTATTATATTGCTTCTTATACCATTTTACATCTTTGTTTTTGTTCCCTTTCTGGCTGAGCTGAGGCGTGACACATTTTTTGAGTAATTAACCATGTAAAGCTAAATCCAAAAACAGACATTTTTAGTTGAGTTTAGATTAAGCCATGCTAACTTCCACCATAAACATGTAACTCGGCCTCTCGTGTCTAAAAGCTCTGGTAATATTTTGTAATATGATGTCAATGTACCATTATGACATCACATTCTTAGCAGTTTTCAAGCTTATAAAACAAATTAGTTAAACTCCTTCCTGGGGGTAGCATAGGGATAGGAAAGTCAATAGTCTCCTTATCATGGCCACGGCGCATAATATTTCTTCTTCCTCAGCAGTGAAATCCCCCTCTCCTCTCTAAAGTCAACTGACACAATTCTACCAAAGTCAAATCGTAACTTTTCTCAACTCATTTCCATTTCTGTCACGTCACAATCAGCAGTATCTTTGTCCTTGTGAGATTCCTGAAGGCATTTGTGTGTACTTCCTCCATCAGCAGTAGCAGCAGCAGTAACAGCAGCAGTAACAGCAGCAGCAGCAGCAGCAGTAGTAACAGCAGCTCTCCTGAACCCGGTGCCATCAAGTCTTTACCCCAAACCTCTTTTAAATTCTGTGCCTGTGGAGACGGGGCGCATCTAGGTCATGTTTGCTACATACTGCTGTTGTGTTGTTACAGCCGCGGTGTGAGGAGCTGGGATCCAGGCCAGGCCCAGAATAGAGGAAGACGAGGAGGTCACAGAGACGGTTCAAGGTTTATGACAAGTTTCTTTAGATAATTAATATTATGCACAATTAAGTTTCATTCAAAATTATAATGTGATCGTTTACTTTGTCATCATCTGTAGGAAATAAAGGGTGAAATATGTATGAAGGGTTAAAAATGCTTTCTGCATGTAACCCCCGGTGCTGCCACCAGAGGGGGATGTAGAATGTGTTTTTTTTCTTCTTCAGATTCTAGAATAGGGATGGGATAGCGTATGGATGGACCACCATTGGAGTTAGTTACCCCTGAGACTTGTTTCACCATATTTTTTCAAATTAAGATATTATTTTACATTCTAAAACATGGAATGATGTTGGAGGGACTATATCTCAGCTGGTCTGGGAACCTCTTGGGATTCCCCTGGATGGAGCTGGAGGGGAGTGAAGAAAGTCTGGGCATCTCTACATATAGCAGAAGAAAATGGTTGGATCAACAGCGTAAATAGTCTTCTAATGGACCATCAAAATTTAACAATAATTCACAATATTTCTTCTTTAACTCCAATCCACACACATTGTACTTGCCAGGGGAGAATTTCAAAGCACTGAGCAGAGAGCGGAGCCTGTGGGAGTCGTATCTGAGGGAATCACAGCAGAAGCAGCAGGGTAACAACAGCAGCATTCTAATGTCAGCGGGCAGGACACCTCTGCACTGCACCAGCACCTGTACCACACAGTATCACAGAGCGTGACTTCAATCAGTCGGATTTCATTTGTTTCTTTTGGACGATGCATTCAGAGCAAAGTCAAAAATACCTATCTCTCACACACTTCCTCTGCCACACTCGCAAACTTAAACTCAGTGTATTCAAAAGTAGATGTAAAGGCGCAATAAACATAATTTGTCAATAAAAGCTGATCAAGACAAATGAGTGCTACTAGGGCTGTTTGCATAGTAGTGGATTACATGTACAGGGCAGAATACTACTTTTGAGTAACTGTCATAGATTAACAAGGACGGACCCAAAAGCAGAACTGCAAAACAATATAATTTGATAATTATATACATTATATATATGTATATAATGTATATAGGACAGGAGCACAGGGTCTACATACACAGAGACACAGGTGTAACACATCCGGGCGGGGCAAACCATCATCAGGACCGACAGGAAATGAAACTCAAACTCAAGAGAAGTTGCCACACAATGACAGAAGCACTACTTTTTAGCTTGTTTTATTTTATATGTTTTCCTTGTGCACTCTGGGGACAATTGGCAAATAAAATTAATCCCAGTCCGAGATTATTTGATATTGATTAGATTCACAAAGCCGCCATAGTATTCTCATGTATGCAAGTCCATTTTAGTCCGTTCTTAAAGGTGATCTCACACGGACTGTATTACTCTGAGCTCCAGGGAGAGCGAGGCGGCGGTGAGTTCGAGGATCCATGCAGAGTGGAACAGTGACGGCTCAAAGAGGACTGCCTTAAGTCAGTACACACGGCAGAACAAACACATCTCACACTCAGCTGGGAGCTCTGGCTGCTCCGACTGCTCCATTCTCACTCCGACAATATTCAAACATCAAACCGCATGCTTAAAGATAAGACTGCAGCAGATGAATATGGAATGTTAATGTGGTTTTATGAAGTTTTGACTTATTAAGGTCGAATTTGGGCGTCTTCTGATCCACATCATTTCAACCAAGAGATTCAAGTCACAATGTCTTTTAAACCCTTATCGTTCACTCCTTGAAGAAAGCAATGTAATTTTTGTGATTTTCTAAGATGAGCACTAATAACAAATATTTGTGTGTTTGTGTGTGTGTGGGGGGCGGGGGGGTGTTTTTAGATTACATAAACTTCATTGATCTCACAATGGAGAAATGTACATTTAGTATAAAGGATCACTCAGGTTACGCAAAAGGCAGGAAATGTGTTGTTATGTTGAAAAGTGAAAACATCTCTTTTGCGCAACATATATCATGTATAAATGAAGTTTATTATAGGCCTTTACCAAATGGTCACGATGCAGTTTATGGTAAAAGTGCCTAAAACCAATAATAGATTCCCCAATGAGGTAGATTTCAATTCCACTCAAAAAGTGGTCTACCAAATATGGGAAACCATTAAAGGGTTAGTGTACTTACTAATGACAATTGTTGTTAAAATCCATACACATTTGGATAAACATTATATGCATTCGGACGAGTTAGATTTTTTCTTGGATTTTATCTGCAGAATGAGAAAACACATCTCTTAAGATCTTTTTACGACCACAAAAGCAGCATGTACAGTAGAAGCAGAGAGGAGACGCTCCAGTGATACAGCGAGAGATATGACTGTATTCAAATTACACACATTTATTTCAACCACAACTGAACATAGATGTTTAAATATATTTTCAAGAATAATAACGTATTTCTTTTCTTGTTATATATTAAGTCTTTTCACATCAGATTTTACATGTCCATAGTCGTGTTTTTTTTAACCCAAAATCAAAAACATGGTCAAATTTACCAAAATGTTGTTGTGTACTGTAGCTAAGAGTCATATCAGCAAGATTTATGCAAACACAAGTCTTCATGCTGTAGTGTCGTAAATATAAGTGACATCTCTGAGAAATTCCTCACCAGAATCTGAGTTCCAACTGCTGCTCTGCCTCCACTATGCAACAATGTTCAGGTCCTGCGTGTTGATGGGGGATTGACTCTTCAGTTTTGTCTTCAGCAAGTGAAATACTGCTCACAGGGACTATGTTTTGGAACAGACTTTAACCGTTGCATAACATTCTACCTCTGTGCGTTAAAAAAAAGTGCTTTGGGTCATTGTCCATCTGCTCTGAGCCTCCGATGAGTTGTGGTATTTGAGCAGATATTTCCCAAAGCCAGTAACAAGCTCAGCAGTAGTTTACGTCTGTTTGGTCTTTGCTCGAGTCTTCTCTTGACCGTTGAAACTAACTCCCAATTTACATCAAGCCTTTTTGTGTAGACACACAGGTTACATCAGAGAACAGTTTTTTTATGATAATGAGCATGACGGAATGGTCAAAACCAGCGGTGAAACAATACATGTCTCTTTGAAATAGGAATAACACCATAGTCTGTGTATAGATGGACAATGCCAACCCCCAGGCTTAATGAAGCCCAATAGGGAAGTGCTCATGGACATATCAGTAACCATTTGTTTCACACTCACCATTTGGGCTTAAAAGTCTGTGGTTTAGTGCTGTCTGTAATCCTGGTGTTTATGTGTTGATATCTTGTGAATCCAGATACATGTCACAGGTTTAAAATGTCTATTGGGGTGTGTAAAAAGTTAATATTAAAAGAACAAATATGTTTTAATAAAAAAACGAAAAAATGGCAATTGGCTAAAAACATAAACAGTCAGTCTGAAAAGCTCAGGGCTCCTTTACCATGCTCCCGGGGCTGGCCTTGCTCTCCCGGGGTCCGCCCAGGGCTTCTTCGCGCCAGGAGCCAGGCTTCACGCACCGGGGGTAAGGCCACTGCGACCTGAGCTGCCCTGCTCCCCAGTTCTCCGTCTCTTTCCCGTGTCCGCTCCCTCCTCAGTGCAAGCCTCCATGTATGGTCTCTCAGGATGATGAAAAACAGGGGTGGGTGATCAGGAATGTGCCTAAGGATAGGTGCAGTGAAAATTCATGCATAAAACCAGGAAATAAAAACATACAAAAGAAGTTGGCAGAATTGGCAAAAAAGAGAGAGAGAGAGAGAGAGAGAGAGAGAGAGAGAGAGAGAGAGAGAGAGAGAGAGAGAGAGAGAGAGAGAGAGAGAGAGAGTTTTGTCTTTTGAGTTTTCATTGTTTCCTATTAATATTAATATTTTGTAATTTTGAGGACCCCCTCAAAAACAAGATGTTTTATCTCTAGAGGCTCCAAACAAATGAATAAATAAACTTTTGGCAAAAACAAACCTCCTGGAGAGTGTGCTTCATCATCAATCGTTATTAATCTGTACACCATCTCCAGATCAATAACAAGGAATGTTTTGTAGCCAATCTAGTGTGATCTAGAGTGTGACCTTTGTTGTGAGCTCCTCTCTCAGTGACCATGAAACAGCTCTGTCAAAACTGTATTCCAATATTCAAACAGGACAAAGTACATGATAATATTGAGACTGGGATTGGGCCTCCTTCACAGAGCTCTATTGTTGCTATAAACCCCACAGGATTGCCCTACTTGACACGTTTCACAAATAGTAGCTTTTTCTATGATTAGAACAGGAGTGCCTTTGTCCACATGGCTCTATTCTCAGGCGGGTCACTGCGGAGGGTCACGTCTTACACAGTCACTACTTTTGCCTGGTTCCTGTAAAAACACATGCCTTGAATAGAATGTTGCACAACAGTGTTACAAATGCACTGTCCTAGTAGATCACAAGGCAGAGCTGACTGAGGGGAAAGAGACAATGTATGACAAGTTTGTATGCAGTATTTTGGACAATAGAAGTACAAGGATACATCTCCACGAGAGAGACATTTTTTATTCTATTATCTCCATGACGATCTACTGTTAGTTGCAAGAACTAAAAAACAGGATTTAAGTAAAGCGAGTGTTTGTGCTCTTATACTGTATGTAAAGGAAACCTTTTTGTGGCGCCATCTAGATGTCAAAACCAGATGCCATCAGACCTCTAGAGCTAAGCAGGACAGGCCTGATTCATAATGTGATGGGAGACCTCTGAGAACACCAGGTGCAGCAGTGAGCTGGCTGCGGCTGTAAACTGCCAAACTTTTGTTATGTCCTTAGGCAAGACACTTTGCCCACATTGCCTAGAATGAGTCTGGTGTGTGTGAATAGCTGGAGGTGGTCTGAGGGGCCAACGGCACACACTGGTTGTTTCGCTTCTGTCATTGTGCCCCAGGGCAGCTGTGGCTATAGGAGTAGTTTATCACCACAGTGTATGGAGTGAAAGAATAATAACATATGAAGCGTGTCCATCTGTTACTAATTCTTCCAGGGTACACACTTATTTGGGCTTCATACATTCACAATAATAAACACATACCTGTCTGTGATGGTGTGAGAGAGTCAAACCTGGAATCTACCGCCTGGTGGGTCAAATGCTGCACTTACTTTTTTCTGCTCATTCATTGTATCTGCTTTGCACTATTTTAAATGTTTGTTTGCACTTTCGGAATGGACATTAAATACACCTAAACACTGGAATCCCCCCTTGTTCAATTCTTAAGGGTACTATATATTGCTTTTCTTTTTTTTCACAGTCCATCCTATGCACAAGTGTCATAATAATTTGGGTGATACAACAGTCAAAACTCAGAAATCACGTGCGCTGACATGAATGCCATACCAGCCCGGGCCGGTGGGGGTGGACCTGGAAAGAGAATTACCCAATGTTTTTCTATGGCGTGTTTTTTTTCTCAAAAAAGGCTTTAAAGGAGTCATTGATCATTTTAATTTGCTGATTGTTGCTTTTGATTCTGATTGATTGAAGAACTATTTAACAAACTCACAGTACTAGTGGGGAATCACAGCAGTGAGTATGGAGACTATACATCCTCAGAGCCATAGCATCAGCATGAAGCACAATAATAATCAAATGTGAGCTTTTCCAACAGAACAGAGCGAGCAGCAGTCATGTGTCGCCTCGGTGTGGAGCAGATAAGGCGTGTTCATTCTTCAGCCCACCTCCCATTGTTTTCCTCTTTCCTGCTTTGTCTGTGCACCGCGATAACGTCTGGAATACACTCATGACGAGCACAGACTCAAGGACAGCAAACCAGAAACAATGTGCTCTGTTTTTCAGGACAGGGAGGATCTAGGACGTTTACGGACATTTAGAAACATTTAGAAACATGTATTGGTCATCCTGTTCCCTATGGCACAAGTGTCAAACACAAGGCCCGTGGGCCACATGCAGCCCCCTATGCCCTTTTTGGTGTTCCCTGAAAAATGTGCTATAAAAATAAAGATTACTGACTTACTTACTATTAAATTCCAGCATTGATGATGAGGTTTAAATGAACTACCATGGTGTGTTATACCTCATTTTAAAGCTATGTTTCTCAAACAGCAACCATGTACTTGTACTTAAATTATAGAATAAATTACACTTGAATATAAACTGTTGAAAAAAACATCTGGCGCTGCACACAGGTTTGGGCCTTTAAAGAATAGTAGCTTTTTCTGCAGGAGAGGCCCCCAGCAGCTCAGGCCCCTGCATCAGTGAAAGTCTCACATGTTATTTACTTCATTTATTTAAAGTTGCATAATGCACTTTTATATACAGTAAATAGTGAGGGGTTAGCAAAGAAGGGTCAGCAGTGAGGAGTCAGGGCAAGTTACTTCAAAAATACATTATGCATTGGGGCGACAGTAGCTCAGTTGGTAGAGCATTGGCCTTCAGGCCTGAAGGTCGTGGGTTCAATTCCCACCTCTGCACCTTCTCCACCAACTCCCACTGATGACTGCTGTCGTTGTGTCCTTGGGCAAGACACTTAACCCCACTTTGCCCAAAAGCCCCTGCTGAGAGATCATGGCTATGCTCACATTGACAGAGCAGCTGTCCTCCTGTGGACTCACCACCTGCAGAGGGTCAGTGAGGGGCTGGTGCTATGAGACTTGAGTGGCATCTCTGACTGCCACCCCTTGTTACTGTTATTTGAAATAACAATACAAGACTTTCTCTGAATCCATTACTGTTAAGTTACTTTTGGTTTGGCACATACGTAAAGTGCACTTAAACGTTATGTTCCACGTCTTTGTCTCCAACAAACTCAGTCCTGTCCTGGATCAGTCCTGGCTCAGAACTGGTTCATAGCAGCATATCAACTGGTTCATAACGTGGCGCATTGCCGTTCTTTGCCCATATACCGCTTGTAATAGCCGCCTGGCGCTTTTTCTCCTCTGCTGATATCGCAGTGGCATTGTATAGAATATTTTTTTTTTTTCAGGTTAAAATGAAAGGTACTGACCTTTGTACTGAATAAATATTTCCCAGTTTTAGATTTGTAATGCCTTAAATTATTGGGTTACAGCAAAAAGTAATACAATACAGTAATTACATTACTTTTGTAATACATTACTCCCAACACTGGTTAGCAGTGAGGAGTCAGCAGTGAGAGATCAGGGGTCAGCAGTGAGGAGTCAGCAGTGAGAGGTCAGGGGTCAGCAGTGAGGGGTCAGCAGTGAAGGGTCAGGAGTCAGCAGTGAGAGGTCAGGGGTCAGCAGTGAAGGGTCAGGAGTCAGCAGTGAAGGGTCAGGAGTCAGCAGTGAGGGGTCAGCAGTGAGGAGTCAGCAGTGACGGCTCAGCAGTTATTGATTCCCTGATCTGATTTTGGTGAATCAACAACTTTGTAAAGTCCTTCGAGGCGATTGATTTAGGGTTGTACAAAAATAAATTGAATTGAAAATTGAATTGAGATGATTTTAGTTATAGTGGAATCAAGCTATGTAATTGAATTAATTTAAACTAATCTTGTATACAAAAGTTTTGGGAAAACTTAATTCATTTCTGTTTTAAAATTGCACTAATGTTGACGTATTAAATAGACTCCAGGCCGCTGAGGCTGAATATGAACAAGCCTTTGCTGCCCTCTCGTGGTTACAGACCGCAGTGTCGCCTCATATACAGAAATAATACTTGAGCGTCTCATGGAAAATGTCAGTATTTAGCAGAACAAAGTGTGTTTAGAATGGCTGTACATCATTCTGTTTCAGTTCCAGGTCCACTTTCCCCACGGGGAGGAGTTCAAGACCCTCTGGTAAATAATACACAGCATAATCATGAAATCACTTACACACACACACACACATACACACACACACACACACACACACTACTGCCACTAACTACTTACAGTTAAATTCCAACAAAACTGAAACGCTCATCTTTGCTCCAGACCATAAGATCCCGCTGATCAAACAGCACCTTGGCTCTCTTGGCTCCTCCGTCAAATCCAGCCTCAGAAACCTAGGGGTTGTGTTTGACCAGGCCATGTCTATGGAGACACACTCCAAACAGCTCGTCCGTAACTGCTTTTATCACCTTAGGAACATTGCAAAAATCCGCAATATGTTGTCAAAGAATGATCTGGAAATGATCATTCACGCTTTTATTTCAACAAGACTTGACTATTGCAACTCTGTTTTTACCTGCTTGAATAAGTCTGCACTCAATCAACTTCAAATTGTTCAAAATTCTGCTGCTAGACTTTTAACAGGTGCCCCTCGTAGGTCCCATATCACTCCTGTTCTGTCTGTTCTTCATTGGCTCCCAGTCAAATTCAGGATTGATTTTAAGATCTTAGTGCTGACCTTCAGAGCCTTAAATGGTCAGGCCCCCCAGTACATCCTGAACCTTTTGAGCCTGTACTCCTCTGGCCGTTCTCTCCGGTCCTCTGGCCAGAACCTGCTTGTGGTCCCCAAAACCCATTATAAGACTCGAGGGGACCGGTCTTTTCAGTCTGTTGCCCCCAGACTGTGGAACGCCCTGCCCCTGTCCCTACGTCTGGTCGACTCTGCGGACTCTTTCAAAAAAGGCTTGAAGACTTATTTATTTAAGAAAGCTTTTAGTTGATTGGGTTCTCACTGATGTCACTTTTAAGTACATAAAATGTGTAATGTGTGTAAGTGTATTTTATATTGTTTTGTATTTGCCCACTGTCCTGTACAGCACTTTGTGATTTTTATCTGTGAAAAGCGCTTTATAAATAAACTTTACTTACTTACTTACTTACACACACGCACACGCACACACACACACACACACACACACACACACACGCACACGCACACGCACACACACACACACACACACACACACACACACACACACACACACACACACACACACACACACACACACACTTTGAGCTGCAACCTGGTGGACTGTAACTTGCACTTTTACTTATGAATCTTTAACTTTCTTATTTAGCTTAGCTCTGTCCAAAATCAATAAGTACTGTCTATGGTCCAACAGCTATATACTTTTTTTGAATCCATAGACTGATGTCTGCTTTTTGTGACTCTATGATGTCTGTAGTTGTGACTCTATGATGTCTGATAGTTGTAACTATGATGTCTGTAGTTGTGACTCTATGATGGCTGATTGTTGTGACTCTATGATGTCTGTAGTTATGACTCTATGATGTCTGTAGTTGTGACTCTATGATGTCTGTAGTTGTGACTCTATGATGTCTCTAGTTGTTACTCTATGATGTCTGTAGTTGTGACTCTATGATGTCTGTAGTTGTGACTCTATGATGTCTGTAGTTGTGACTATGATGTCTGTAGTTGTGACTCTATGATGTCTGTAGTTGTGACTCTATGATGTCTGTAGTTGTGACTCTATGATGTCTGTAGTTGTGACTCTATGATGTCTGTAGTTGTGACTCTATGATGTCTGTAGTTGTGACTCTATGATGTCTGTAGTTGTGACTCTATGATGTCTGATTTTCCAGTTTTCATGTAGTTCCAGAGCCTAATAGAGGCGTGATTCGGAGGCTCCGCGAAAACAAACAATTGCGCATGAGCAGCTGCGAGCATCAGCGGCGATGATTGACAGCCCTTGGCATGACTAGATTGGTTAACCTTGACGGCATCGTGGATTCTGAGCTATAGCTAAGAGAAGGGAAGGGATCAACATTTAAGGCCAGGAGGTCAATTTAACACATTTTCTAAAATTTGTAATTCATTTAGAGTTACAGACTATCACTTAACTCTAAACAAAAGAACATCAAAAGCGCCGCCTTGTGACAAAACAAAAAAACTGTCCGCATATCTTCAATCAGTCTGCGTCCCCACCCTCACCTCTGGTCATTGGCTTTGGGTAATGACAAATACAAATCTTCAAAATGGCTGAGTGGTGTGCGCTCCCTTAGAGAGAGGGTGAGGAGCACAGTCCCTACAGGAGGAGCTTGGAGTAGAGCCGCTGCACCTCCACTTCGAGAGGAACCTGACAGACTTGAGCGTCTGTTTGGGATGCCTCCTGGACGCTCCCTCGAGAGGCGTTTTGGGCATGTCCCATTAGGAGAAGTTTGGAGGGACTGTGCCTCAGGATGGATGTATGGAGCTTCTTCTCAGGATCTCAGAAAGTGACCATTACACCAATATGAAAATAAAGCCTGTCTATGTTTTTGATCTAACATTAGATTTAGTTTTAGTTTTAGCCTAAGATTAAATACTGGTCATAAAAATGTACAATCATCCTAAATATTCTAGTATAATCTACATTATTCTGATGAGGAAGTGTTTGATATGTCCAAGGAGCAGTGGGTGAAACACAAATTGCAAATATGATCGGATGGTTTAGTTAGAGATGTGAAATGTTGAGGATGTCTAATAATCCACTGAGGTTTAGGAACGTCCTCAGAGGTGATAGAGATTCTGCTGCTTTAGCACAACATGAGCCACTGGATTAGATTCAGTATGTATTTGTATGCTGATGAATACTGATGCTCATAAACCAACACACACAGGTAAACACAAACACACAAGTATACATATACACACACACACACACACACACACACACACACACACACACACACACACACACACACACACAAACCAGACTAAATTTAATTGGGATGAGATTCCTTTAATGGTATAAGGAAAGCACAGCAACAGGAGGAAACCCATGTAAACACAGGGAGAATATGCAAACTCCACTCAGAAAAGCCCTGGTCTGACCAGGATACAAATCCAGGACCTTGGTTCTGAGAGAGAATATCCCCTGAAGTGCATCAGAAAGTTTCCTTTGGTTCAAGGGGTCAGCTCAGACTTGTAGCCTTGTACTGTACATGAGGTAGCTATCGAGGCTATCGAAGTGAAGGCTAAGACTGAAAGGTGAGGCAAGATTATTTGTACAGCACAAATAATCTCAAAGTACTAAACAAAACAAGAAACAACCGCACAAGGCATTCAAATCATACATAATAACAGTACATTAAAAAAGAGTGATGATATAACCTTACAGTTTGATGTATAGTTAAACAGAACTGGATGTGAACATTGAGAAGAAACCTGGCTCACATTTTTGACTCAATCTGAAACGCTGCCTCCCCTGGTCTTGGCCTGACTCTGGGCATCAGCAGGAGTTCCGCCCCTGTGCTGAGTTGGTTCATTGGGGACTACATGTCACACATGAAGCTAGAGCAGAGACCTGTGGACTGGACTAATGTGGTCGTACTTCCAGGTTCTAGTCTGGAGTCGAGCTGCAGCTAGTTTGGAGAGACCAGTGAACAGCTGTTACAGTAGTCTAACCTGCCGGAGACAGATGCAGGATTAGAAACACCAAAGCCCAATATACTTACACAATCAGAGATAACAAAAACGAGATACTCTATAATAACATTTACTGACAATATTTCCACTTCACACAGAAAACCTCCAGAAGGACCCTGGACGTGTACATTCCACACCAGCCTCTAATCCTCAGCTTTTACTGCTCATAAATGTGAAATGTGAAAACACATTGTCGGCCATGTGCGTCTGGAGCAGCTGGGTCATTAGCACATCAGCCTGAGAAATAACGAGAGCGAGACAAAGCTTTCCGTAACCCCGCGGCTTAGAGGACGGTTCCTGACCATAAAGAAGGAGATGACAGCTCCACACACACCTCACACACACACACCTCTCGCTCTCGCAGGCCGCTCTGGGTTCTCCGCAGGCCCCTGTTTGGGTTGGCTCCTGTCCCACATCTCTCCTCCTCCAACACTTTGTCAGCACCGAGGAAACGATTAAAAAACAACAATGACATAAATTCTGCAGACATATTCCCTGTTTTTACTGTTGCTTTTTTGTGCTTTGATTCTAATGGTTCGAAACAGGCCGTTGGGTGAGTGTGTGGGTGCTGAGGCTGGAGAGGGGATGGATGGTTGTTGGCATGGAACAGAGTGGGGGTCTGTGGGCCGTCCTGGTCAGAGTGGGGGTCTGTGGGCAGTCGTGGTGAGGTGGTGGGTGGTCTGGATCCCTCATGTGCTGAGCTCCTGCAGTGGGGGGCAGCTCTCCTGTGTCAATGAGAACGTCAACAGCTGATTTGTCAAAAAAAATTTAGCTGCAAACAGTGAATTAAGGAAGATGTTTTGAGGTTTTGTCTGACATACTGTGATAATCTGTTACAGCCGTGGATCAGTGATTATATATTTGAAAATCTCAATTAAAGAATCATTCTGCAGAGACTGGAAGTGGCTGACACTGAGGCCTGATGTCACACGGCAGGAGGTTCTGTATGTGTTGTCTGGACAATAGTGAACATACAAATTGGTGATGATTTTGTTGGCAATAATCGTGGGTATTACAGGGGGTAGTTGAAATGATCTTGATTAACTTGCAAACATTGAACAGTAGGTCGGAGCAACTATTATCATTATTTTAAAGATTGACTGTGGACTACTATTTCTCTCTGTCTTTCTGTCTGTCTAACAAAACCTAAAAGTGTGAGCAATGTGGAAATAGGTGTCAAGTGAAAAGTGCATTACAACAACAACAACAACAATAATAATTAAAGCCGCAAGCGGCGTCAAACGGCCCTCGCCGCACCACGTGCACCCCCCGCACCGCGCGCACCACCCCGTGCCAAGCCACCCCGCACCACGCCGTCCCGCATCACGCCGCCCTGCACCGAGCTGCAACCGTACCAAACATTTTGCAGTGAAATTTATGGGCCTCCTGTTTGTCAGAGGGCGGAGCCATGGTAACATTTCGGTCGTATCTTGACTTGAGGAACATGTGTACCGAATTTCATGGCTCTACGACAAACTTGACCTCTGAAACTCCCATTGGCTGTTGTAGGTGGCGCTGTTCTGGCATTTTTTGAGTCCCATAAAAATAAACACCCAAATATCAAAATTTTCACCAGGTCTGATGTTTGGGGAAAATTTTACAACTTTTCATGCATGTTCAGGGGGTGAAATTAAGGCTCAAAGTGCAGAATTTGACATCTCTCGAGCAAAAACAATAGGCCCTTTCCCCGTTCGGGGCTCGGGCCTAATAATACCCCCATGGGATTTTTCGGAGGTCAAGTTTTTCGTAGAGCCATGAAATTCGGTACACATGTTTCTCTAGTCAAGACATGAAAAAAATGTTATTATGGCCCCGCCCTCTGACATACAGGAAGCCCATAAATTTCACTGCAAAATGGAAAAATGAACAGCAATCATTTTCATACATGTCGGTTGGAAAGCGACTCCTCCTCGGCCGTTTCACCGATTCGCCTCAAAATCGCTCCAGATCATCTCAACACATTTACCTTGAAAATGACTTCGGTGATTTTTCTTCAGTGAAACGTTGTTTGAACAGGGGAGCAGCAAAATGTGACCTTTTTTTGGCCGTTTTGGACAATATTAAATTTGCTCCCGTTTGCACATACAAAGTCTGATTTGCACAAAACTTTAATACATTGTTTAACTCTAGGGTCTAGGTCAATTGAAAGTGAAATAAAAGAACTTGGCTCATTAGTGCCCCTACAGATGGAGTCAAAGTTTTCAGAGTTTTTCATACCAAAAACTCTGAAATAGTCTGTAGGGGGCGTTAATGAGCCAAGTTCAAATATTTCACTTTCAAATGACCTAGACCCTAGAGTTGAACCATGGATTCAAGTTTTGTGCAAATCGGAATTTGTTTGTGTAAACGGGAGCAAATAGAATGTTGTGAAAAACGGCCAATAAACACTCACATTTTGCCGCTCCGCTGCTCAAACAACGTTTCTCTGATCAAAAATCCCTGAGGTCATTTTGATGGTACATGTGTTTAGACAATGTGGAGTGATATGGAGGCTAATCGGTGAAACGGCCGAGGAGGAGTCGCTTTCCAACCAACATGTATGAAAATGATTGCGGATCATTTTTCCATTTTGCAGTGAAATCTATGGGCCTCCTGTTTGTCAGAGGGCGGAGCCATGATAACATTTCGGTCGTATCTTGACTTGAGGAACATGTGTACCGAATTTCATGGCTCTACGACAAACTTGACCTCTGAAACTCCCATTGGCTGTTGTAGGTGGCGCTGTTCTCGCATTTTTTGAGTCCCATAAAAATAAACACCCAAATATCAAAATTTTCACCAGGTCTGATATTTGGGCAAAATTTTACAACTTTTCATGCATGTTCATTGCATGTTCATGCATGTTCATGTTCATGTTCATTTGACATCTCTCGAGCAAAAACAATAGGCCCTTTCCCCGTTCGGGGCTCGGGCCTAATAATAGTAGTAATAATAATAATAGGGGCGACAGTAGCTCAGTTGGTAGAGCGCCAATCTCTGGACCTAATGGTCGTGGGTTCGATTCCACCACGACCCATGTCATCTGCTCCCACTGATGTCTGCTGTCGCTGTGTCCTGAAGTCCCCGCTGAAAGATCAAGGCCGTATCTGTGATGAAGGAACAGCCATCTTCCCGTGGACCCACCACCTGCAGGAGGATCAGCGAGGGACTGGTGCTATGTGAATTGGGTGGCAACTCTGACTGCCACCCCCCTGACCCAGAAATGGACAATAAAGGGATGAGAATGAATGAATGAATGAATAATAATAATAGTGATAATAATAGAAGTAATAATAATAATAGTGATAATAATAGAAGTAATAATAATAATAATGATTATTATTATCATTTAGGTGATAAACCTTTGAAAAAACAGTCACTAACTGAAAGTGGTCCATCTCTGTGACTTAGGCCTGTACAGATTGTCAAGATGAAATGGAGAACATTTGATGGAGAACAATGGTCACCTGAGCTTTTCCTCTCCTCTTCATACTTTATCTGCGATCATTTTGACTTCAGCTGTCGTCTGTTTATTGCTATTCAACCACTGCCCCATTGTCAGTTTCATGGCATGATGATGGGACCCCTGAACCTGCACTTGTGGATAGAAGGGAAACACTTTCGCAACAACACATCATCAGTAGGGTAAACAAAACTAACCTGTCTCACGATGGTCTAAATCCAGTTCACGTTCCCTATTAGTGGGAACGTGAGCTGAGTGGCTCCCAGACGTGACCGAGTCCTGGATCTACAGCCTGTCCTGGATCTACAGCCGGTCCGTGAATATAGGTCCCTCTCTCATTGTGGACCTTCCTGTTGTTTCTCACTTTTTCCCACTATGTTTTTGAGTCGTTCCTCACCGATGTAGGATGGTCTAAGGACAGTGATGATCTGTGACTTTCATGGACGTTTCTGAACAGTGGTCATCCCGCTCTCTATGGACCAATGGATCTTATGTGTTTGTTATTATTGCCTTTACTGTGTTCAAACAGTTTGATTCTCTGATCTGTAGTTAAGTAATCAACAGTCTTGTAAGGTCCTCCTTTGACTGCTGTTTTCTGTGATTTAGGGATATATATGGAGACATAGGATTTGTCTCCTTAGAGAATAATGATCACTACAGAGCAGGAAGATGTTACCTACAGTATACTGCATGTTTTGGCTAACGGGGGAATTAACCGGAGGGCCTGGAGGAAACCCACCCAGACACAGGGAGAAACATGCAAGCTTTTCACAGACACTGTCCATAAAAGGCTGTGTGAATTTTGTGAAACGTTAACAATGATATTTAATCCAAACCAAACAGTAGCGGTTTTCTGCTCTACTTTTGAAATACTTTTGATAGAACAGCAGCAGCGTGATGAATGTGTCCGGATGTGCCTTCTGAACTCACCACACATTTTCCAACTCCACTCTCCATTTCTTTCTCTCAGGGGCCGTGTCTGGACTCAAGTCTGCTCATACATCATCACTGTTTAATTACCAGCCATAAAAAAACAACCACAATTAATATCTGTGCTGCAGGAAAAGACTGTGCAGCGACTACACAACCAGAAGACATTTACAAAAGAAACACGGGACACGGTCAGTGGAAAGTGGAGCAAATGCCAAGAATATGAACAAACAGGTTTAAATCTATGGCTGTATCTGTCATGCAGCCAATACTCTGAAATCTGGTCTCACTTTTGAGTATAGTGTGATATATGATACAAGTCGAAGCATGCGCTGTTTCACTGTTCAAAATACATGTGAACAAATCAGACCACAGCAGCTTTCTTCATCTTATTAGAAAACATGTTTCACTTTTGAATGCGCTGGAAACGGCTGCAAGTCCTATGCAGCGCTGAAACAGTTGTTGTTTTGGGTTTTGGGTTAAGGCAGTACAGTATTCATGGTTTTACACTGATATGGCTCAGAGCAGAGAGGATTAATGGTCCCAACCAAGCAGGACAAGGAGGAGTGCTAATTTTAAAAAATACCCATAATGCATTACAAATTTCACTCTGAACCAAAGCAGAGAAAATGGCACCAACCAGAGAATAGGCAGCAGCTCATCACCAGCGGCTACAACACCTTTGCTGCCTTGATCTGTTTCACTCTTGTTAGTTTCTGCTTCTGAATTTCTCCTACAAACAATATAGTATCTACAGTATCTATCTATCTATCTATCTGCGAGCTGATTGGCTGAGTGAGTCTCTTTGTCACTTTTCTGCAGTAGATGATAATATGCATGTGAAAACTAGTGATACACCCAAACTGTTAGAGCCAAAAACAAGTGAGTTTGCTGTGGTTTGAAAGTTAGATACCCGAGCTTTAAGCAGTATATACAGTTCCCTCTCCTCCTCTCGTGACTGAGGGTGCAGCTCCTGATGTGTTTGGTAAACACACTGGCACTGGGCGTTCTCTCTCTGGGCCTTCACTCCTGCAGCAGAGAGCCCAGTCCCAGCGTCTGCAGTCCAGATGTGCTCAGGGTCCAGGGAGGGAGGGGCTGCAGGCTCGGCTCCGGAAACATCCCATAATGAGACGTGCACCAGGGGCTGACGGCGGCGACGTCATGCGGCTCTTGGCCTCACTGTGAGATCATATTATCTGTTCATTTTGGCCAAAAAGGTGCATTCTTCAACTGTCCTGCTGGAGCCTTTAGCTTTCACTCTAAAAACACAATGGCTAAAGAAAACTATTAGGAAGGCGCTTGTTAGTATATTACCAGGACTCCCAAAAAAGTACAAGAAGTCATTTTGACGGCTCTTTTTCAAATCAATGGGATTCTGGAAAAAAAAGTATTTGATTTTTCCATAAGTAAATAAAGTTTTCTTTATCTGTATAGCACCTTTCACAGATCAGGCTCACAAAGCACTTGCCATAGGTTCATGCCAGACCTATTGTACTTGTTTTTGGTAGTAGGGAAAACCGGAGCACCCGGAGGAAACCTACACATACACGGGGGGGGGGGGGGGACTGATATTATTACATTTAAGTAATTCATATGATTTTTATCTTTAATACATGCTAAAGCTTGTTAATATAAATGAAATACAGCCAAACAAGATGCTACTGTAGCTGATGCAAGGATCGAGTTCATTTCATAAACATAATAACAGCTATGAATAACATATAGATACAGAAAAAGCCTCACAAAACACACTTCAAAAATGAAAAGCCAAAATATGAGAGTTTTTAGAGTTAGGAAATCTGTTGGTAGTGAGCTGGTTTATCTAAATAACAATAGGCGAAAGGAAAACCATAGATTTTTCTTTCGCCTCCACCAGACCCCCACTGGAGCGAGGTCTTTCAGCCTGTTGCAGATGAAACCATGTGAAGTCGGAAGGATCACTTCTGGTCTTTTCCGTGCCATTAATCTGGTTCTTTGGGGATGTTGTGGTCTGAGCCACAGAGGAGCAGGAGGCTGACGGAGCATTCTGTTCAATGTTTATTCTGTTTTTCTCTGTGTTAGAATTTCGTTCAGATTTGTGTGTTTGTGTGTGTGCGTGTGTGTGTGCATCCGTGCGTGTGTGTGTCATATCGCTCTCATGTGTTTTGTTGAAGGGTACTTTGTTTGTATTGTGTATGTGTGTGAATGGCTGGGAGGGGATTGGATTAAAAGAAGCTTTTTGCCAATCTCTATTCAATCCATGCACCATGTTTTTTTTTGCTAATATTATTAGATATGTTATATTATTAAGTATTATAATATTATTTTTTCTGTGAATAATTGTTTGTATATATGTCAAACAAATGAAAAAGTGTATGCATGCCTTTATATCTGTTATTCACTTTATTTATGATAGATATAAACTCCCGCTCCTGTGGACTCACCACCTGCAGGAGGATCAGAGAGGGGCTGGTGCTCTGTGTACTGGGTGCAGCTCTGACTGCCACCCCCCAAACTAGAAATGGATTAAGGGGAAGAAAATGGATAGATAAATTCGTCTGCAACATATTGAAAAAAGGATTGAAAAATTTGGTAATTTTGAAGCAAATTCTGACTGCCTTGGAACAAGATATTCCAATGGGTCAAGAAAAATAATCTTGTTTTCAAAAGATACAAGAAATGTCTCATGAGAAACAAAAGCAACAGTTCTTGAAATAAGACTCAATGGCTTCGCCCTGTTGGTAAATCTTGTTTTAGCACAGTAAGAATGTGCTCAAATCAAGATTAAAAAAACTTACTTCAAGCGTTTATTATAGGTTTTATTATTTTTTGCAGTGCACACATCAAACAAAATCCCTAGTTTGTGATTTCCAGTTACCCACAATAGCAATAAAAAGTATTCTGATGTTGGGCTTGCTGTTTGTATAAATAAATTACATACCCGCAAAAACGAAACAATAATTTTAATTGTGACGTGTGCTGGAGGGTCTCCTCAGTCCTACTCAGATGTAAAGGACGGGAGGTTTAGAATAAGTAGAAATCAGACTGGTTCAGTGCACACCTCTGCACTTGCAATGCTCTTGGTCATAAAAGCAACAGTAATAGAGTAGTAGTAGAGTAGTAGAGTAATATGTCTAAAAGCTTCAGTTTAAAGTTGATTTTGCATCATACTCAACATGTTCGGTCACAAAGGTGAGAGTGTTGTGTTTGCAGAGTGTGCAGCTGTGACAACACGGCTCTTCCTGCTGTAGGAAACCTGTTCTCAGAGGATTCACCAGTCACTCCTCGTCACAACTGCTCCTTTATGATGCGGACGTGTGGAGCGATACAGGACCAGGCGGACCACTGCTCTGGACCCTCATTTCAGAAAAACCACCAGCCTCAAAACCCAAAACAGTACACTGGCACAGGTCTGGTGTGTAGTGATATTTCTGCCTCAGTTTCAGCTCATTAAAGTTGGTCTGACTGAATCAATGTTTGAGCTCTGAAGAAATGATATGAGGCTTTTTCCCACTGCTGCTTTGACACGTGTTGATTGGGGACAAGAGTGGGCCGCAAACCAGGGGTTGGGGACCACTGATTAAACAATGATACAAATGATATTACTGCTGTGTGTGCAGTGAAACATGAGCAGCAACATGGGGATTCCACAGCGTAAAAAAAAAAGAAGTGGAAATAAAAACAAAAAATACTACACAATAATCAATAATGTATGTTTTTGTTAAATATAGTATTTATCAACAAAAAATAATAATATTGACATGCCCTTAGTCACCTCTGAGTTCAGATCCTGACTCCATTGAGAACAGCTGTATAAGGTTTTGTGTTCTCCCATCTTCACAAGATCTTGGTGAAAAATGTTTTCTGGAACGTTCCACAGATTAAAATAAGTAAGAGGCTCAGACAAAGTTACAGGTCATGTCTGCACACAGGAGAACAGACCCAATGACAATTTTGAGCAGTAAAACCATCAGTCATGAATACGGACGTGTATTACAAACAAAATGATATTGTCTCTATGGCAACAAAGAGGGAGCAGGCTAGAAGTTGCTTCTGTTGGAAAATACATCATTTGATTGCATACAGTAAAAGCTAAAATCAGACTGTAAACAAAATACCTCTTTTTGTGGTGACTTTATTTTGGTTTGACAAAATTCGACACAATTCCAGTAATCAAGAGAAACCCATTTTCCCTTTAGGTAAACCCAAAATCAGCTCATTAGATCCATCTGTGACTGTGGTCCATCGACAGTCAGACTGATCTCATTTACAGATGCTTCTGAACTCCACATGGATTAACATCTCTGCCGACACAGTCGGCCTCCACCCCGAGGCAGACTAAGAGGAAACCCCACTGACCACTGCTCTGTCTGACCAAGCCTCAGAGGAAGCTCCACTGACATGAAATTTAAAGTCCTGTCATGTTCGTCATATCTCCTTAAGTCAGAATTGTCTGTGTCAAGGCATGATGATGACCTCTGAACCTGGCCTCTTTGTCCTGCACCTGTGAACTGGTTGCCCCCAGTCCAGGTTCTTCAGCCTCAGTCCTGGCTCAATCGCCTCCGTCCTGCATCTACAGCCTGTCTGCAGGTGTCTGTTTCTGAGCCGTTCCTTACCAATACAGAAAGGCCTAATGACAGTGATGATTTATGAACAGTGTAAGAAAACCTTCTGACATCTGTTGGGATTGTATATTAACAGACGCCAGTTCTAAACCAAGAAATGTTTTATTTTTGAATCATGTTATACAGTAATTGTGTCTGGATATTGTTTAGCTTCATCCATGTGAACAGGCCACCCTGGCCTCACAGAACACTCTGTGGAGATCTCCATTGGCACCACACTCATGTTTGTGGGCTAAAATTACAAACAGTGTGGATTTCTTATTTTCTTTCATTAGAACTACCACATGCTGTATGTTGTTCTTTTTACCTTTTTCATTCTAGTCAATTATTACTCTGGGGGGGGGGGGATTGATAAAAATAAAATTAATAAACTATTATTCAAGACTGAAAAAAGCCTCAGTTGCAGGAATGTAGACAATACAGGACCAAATAGATCAATAGTCGTGGCAGGTGAATGTAAACAATGGGCAGAAAGATACCAAAAAAGCATAACTTACACAAGCATTATGTTTACGGTGTCAGCTTCTGTAAAAGAAGCACTTTTACGATCAGTGTGGGGAGAAACATTACGTGGATGTAAAACTGTAATTTCAGGGGTCTTCTGTGACTGAAGATTAAAATCCTTTAAAAATAGTAGTTGTTCAAACTTAGCGATAGATTTGAGATACTAGTATTTAACCAAAGCAGCACAGGGTCATGAGAGCAAACCTCCTTCGTTGGAGTCAAATCTCAGTGGTGTTTCTCTTCTCAGTGCCCACGCAGACACCTCTTTCCTCCGTGCCCACGCAGACACCTCTCTCCTCCGTGCTCACGCAGACACCTCTCTCTTCCGTGCTCACGCAGACACCTCTCTCCTCCGTGCTCAAGCAGACACCTCTCTCCTCCGTGCTCACGCAGACACCTCTCTTCCGTGCTCACGCAGACACCTCTCTCCTCCGTGCTCAAGCAGACACCTCTCTCCTCCGTGCTCATGGAGACACCTCTCTCCTCCGTGCTCACGCAGACACCTCTCTCCTCCGTGCTCACGCAGACACCTCTCTCCTCCGTGCTCACGCAGACACCTCTCTCCTCCGTGCTCAAGCAGACACCTCTCTCCTCCGTGCTCATGGAGACACCTCTCTCCTCCGTGCTCACGCAGACACCTCTCTCCTCCGTGCTCATGGAGACACCTCTCTCCTCCGTGCTCACGCAGACACCTCTCTCCTCCGTGCTCATGGAGACACCTCTCTCCTCCGTGCTCACGCAGACACCTCTCTCTTCCGTGCTCACGCAGACACCTCTTTCCTCCGTGCTCACGCAGACACCTCTCTCCTCAGTGCTCACGCAGACACACACTGCCTGGAACATGTCTCTAGGTTTTAGGTCCTATCCGTGTCCATGTTCATCTGAGGCGACCGTAACAGGACTGATGCTGTTGTCAAAAGCAGAAATAAGGTTCAGATTCCAGATAGTGCTTTTGTGACAAGTGAAAAGATTATGGAAGTGGAGTGTCCTATTCCAGTCGTGGGGAGGGTCATAGCTGGGCCTCTGGACTGGGGGAGGGAGAGGAGGGTCTGGGTGAAGGCTGGCCCTCACTGGAGTCCTGCTGAGGTCTGGGGGAGACCTTGGCAGGTGACAGTCCCACTAGTCCTGAGAGCTCTGAGGGCAGTAAGGTTCCCTTCTTCACATGGCTCAGTTCTTTCTCCCGAGCTGCTGGCCCCTGCTGACCTCCTTTTACACGCTTCCACTTCATCCTCCGGTTCTGGAACCACACCTTCACCTGCAGAAACACAGCACTTTAAGACTTGGTCATGAGAACTCTACACAACAAGGTTCAATTTCTTTACATGCTTGAAGTTTGGTTCTGTCTCTAGTTTTCACATGCATCTACTTTTGGCTTCTCATATATTTATGTTATTCATTTTCTATCCCTAAATAATGCCCAAAATCATTGTAAAAGTGAACAAAGTACAAATGCATATTGTTCTAAAGATAAAAAGTGCATCAACACGTCTGGACTATATACTGTACAGTACTGACAGTAGATGACTTGTACTGACAGTAGATGGCTGGAACAGTACTGACAGTAGATGGCTGGAACAGTACTGACAGTAGATGGCTGGAACAGTACTGACAGTAGATGGCTGGAACAGTACTGACAGTAGATGGATGGAACAGTACTGACAGTAGATGGCTGGAACAGTACTGACAGTAGATGGCTGGAACAGTACTGACAGTAGATGGATGGAACGGTACTGACAGTAGATGGCTGGAACAGTACTGACAGTAGATGGATGGAACAGTACTGACAGTAGATGGATGGAACAGTACTGACAGTAGATGGATGGAACAGTACTGACAGTAGATGGATGGAACAGTACTGACAGTAGATGGCTGGAACAGTACTGACAGTAGATGGATGGAACAGTACTGACAGTAGATGGCTGGAACAGTACTGACAGTAGATGGATGGAACAGTACTGACAGTAGATGGATGGAACAGTACTGACAGTAGATGGCGTGCTCTCCCCAGATCCTAATGAGGCAACAATGCCAACATAAATGTTTGATTGTGAAACTCTGGCTTTATTTCAAGCTCTAAACACAAGGCGCCAGACCAAATGTACAAAGAGCTGGTTTCCATGAGCAGTCTGAAGACATAAATATGGTTCAAATGTGGGACTTTCAAAACATTTATTATAGTTTGTTTTTCTAATTGCAGTTCCAGCATGTGCACATGTGTGAGCACTAAAGGCGGCTCCAAAAACACCATTCTGTGCTTTATATGAGCAGCAACATTCAGTCACGAAGGCTGTAATACGAGTGGCTTCTGCGTAACATAATCCTTGGGAATGTTGAGGCGACACCAGTGCTGAGCGTCCGCGTCCACAGCTCCTCAGAGCGAGGCTGATACGGCAGACACATGAGCTGCTCCGGCTGAGTCCGCTTTCCCTGACCACACACTTCAGATGGTATTTGGGGGTCACAGTTTCACGATAACAGCCAACATTACACCGCTCATGTTCATCCACCCTGCAGCCGTACCTCTGATGACCCCCATGTCCCAAACTTTACCTTGTATCTTGAGATCGCAGCAGTCCTGGCCCAGAACTACAGTAAGTGGACAATATACTGAGACTATTTGAAAGCACAAAGAATGTATCACGAAAAATACCACTAAGGAACTAAACGACCCAAAAGCAGAAGTGCAAAATACAATAACTTCATAAATGCTACAAGGAAAATAAATCACAAAGTAAAAACACGAAGCAGGGACATAACGTGGGGGGATTAACATTAGGCAACAGAGGGACAGACGGCTCCTCGGATGACGCTTCTTCAGCTGGTTACATCTGCTCCCAGCCCTAACTTTTCAGGCTTTTACCTATTTCATATTATTTGAAGTAACTGTGTCTGTATTTGTTCTTAATAATATCAGTGGCTTGGAGTGGGTCTGACGGGTGGTCGGGCTGATGGGTCATGGGCATATGAGACTGTGTCACCATATGTTTTCAATTTAAGACACTCTTCCACATTTTGAAACATGAAATGACAAAGTAACTAGTCTCATTATCATGTTTAATAAAAATAGCCTTAGTCCTCCTTCTACAGCCTTACTCCTCCTTCTACAGCCTTACTCCTCCTTCTACAGCCTTACTCCTCCTTCTACAGCCTTAGTCCTCCTTCTACAGCCTTACTCCTCCTTCTACAGCCTTTGTCCTCCTTCTACAGCCTTAGTCCTCCTTCTACAGCCTTAGTCCTCCTTCTACAGCCTTACTCCTCCTTCTACAGCCTTTGTCCTCCTTCTACAGCCTTAGTCCTCCTTCTACAGCCTTTGTCCTCCTTCTACAGCCTTAGTCCTCCTTCTACAGCCTTAGTCCTCCTTCTACAGCCTTACTCCTCCTTCTACTCATCAGCTTAAGTCCTAGATCTATAGCCCATGCATCCATGTTGAGCAGATCCCTCACTCAATGTGGTTCTCCCTGAGGTCTCTCTTTGTCAGGGAAGTCTGTTAGACTGTTGTGGGTCTAAAAAGGACTGTGGTGATGATCCAAGACACTCAATTGATCACATTCATCAACACTTATGGACATTAGTCAACTCCCCCATAGACCAATATCAATGTGTTCTCTATTCTTTGTGTTTGAACTGTTTCATTCTCCGATCTACTGTATGTTGGCGAATTCAAGGTTCTGATTTCTTGTTGGTGAATCGATAACAGTCCTCCGAGACAATGGTAGAGCTGTAAAAGAACACATTGAATAGATGTATGGCTTCTTTTACATTGCATAACCAGTTTGAGAGGTTTCTTATCATTTTGGCCACAAACCCAGTGTTGTCATCAGGCTTTTCATCCGCAGATTGTGTTGAATGTTGCAGGTCCATTCTTAAATTCATGACAGCAATACAATTCCTGGCTTTGTTTTTTGAAGAGTTTATGATGCAGCTTGTCCTGTTATTTTACTTCTACAGTTTCATTTCAAAAAGGTTTAATATGTGTCCTTCATTCAACTTGGGATTTTGTCTTGGAATCAAATGAGTTTTTCCACTAAAGCATTGGTGCAAAAACAGTATGGTCCTCACCAAAATATCAGATTTATGTTTCATGGATTCTTCTGTTCCGTGCAATAAGTGATCATCTTACAGCATAAACATATTCTTTAACGTCTGAAAGCTTCAGACACAATTTATGATCTGGTTCCAATCCACTTCTGAGTTACACACGTTTAATGTGTCAGGTACAGTGTGTCCAACTGACGTCGTTTCTCTATAGTCAAAGCACACACCATAGACTGCATACAGATGAACAATGCTAACATGCTAGCTCAATGAAGCCCAATATGGACGTGCTCATAGACAAAGTTTGGGTCGCTCTGGGTCCTCATTGGGAGTGTGACGATATATCAATATCGTGATGTATCGTGATACTTTCTCACGCAATCGATTATCGATATGCTTTTGCCAAGTATCGATTTTGTATTTTTTCAATAAACATTTTTTGTTTATTTATGCCAATATGTGCTGTATTTGAATCCAGAGTTGAGAATTAGTTAATAACTTACACTTATAACTATTTCGTGTTTATTCAGATTGCCTTACTAAAAGATTTCTATAACAGTAAATTTCTGACCAATATGTCGATAATCGTCATATCGTGATAAAATTGTTGCTGTGAGCTTTCTATTGCGTATTGTATCATATCGTGAGGTACCCTGAAGTTCCTACCCCTAGTCCTCATGACTCACATGTAAAAGTAAACAAAGTTGTGAGCAAAAATCCCAGAACCACACTGAGTGGACCACTGCAGAGAGCTGGGACTAAAGTAACAAAGACGATCATCAGCAACACACTACCCAGTGCCAGTACATGACCAGGCCCGTCTGAAGTTTGCTATGGAGAACTTTCGGATCCAGAAGAGGATCAGGAGACTGTCCTGTGGTTAGCAGAATTGTTTTTCTGCGAAGGGACCAGGACGATTGATCTGTGTAAAGAAGAGAATTAATGGGATCATGAAAACTACCTTTCATCAGCAGCAAGGGCTTTGAATATGAAACGTGGCGGGTCGTTTGGCACGACAATGATCCCAAACACACGTCGCCAGGGCAACAGAGTAGTGGCTTCGAAAGAAGGTCCAGGAGCAATTCTCCAGGGGGAGGCAAAAGCCCCGTGGTCTGGCGGCTGAGTCCATGGGCACTATACCCAAAGATTTACCCTGTTTTAGAGCATAGGGTTTTAATCGCTTTTATTTGTTTTTTTTATTGGATTTGATTAAAGTATGTTTATACCTGCTTTTATATGGTTTTTTAGCTTGGCTTTTGACAGCTGCAGCAGCACTCAGACATATAACCAACAGGTTTGATATCTCTTTGATCGAGCTGCAGCAGTCGTGAGTTCAGGGTGAGAAGAGTATATAAAGTGTGTGTGAGGGGTTTTACAGCCTTAAAACATACAGCTGCTACTTCAAGGGTTTCCCTCATTATGGGTTATTTTTGGAACCTGACCCCTGCGATACCCAAGGGACCACTGTATTCTGCTCTTTTTCAAATGTTCATCTATACATCTGTGTAGACTGTGCTATAGTCACTGTCGAATGGCTTGACACTTAACCATTTCCAATCGATCAATTTTGAAATGTTGTGATTTAACTGTGAGATTATTACTATTATTTGGTAGACAGATTGTGTATCATATGTATCATTTATGGACATTGGTCATCATATCAATTTGTTTTCTGTTTTTATTCCTTGAGTTTGAACTGTTTGATTCTCTAATCTGTGTTGGCGAATTCAACGGATTTGTAAAGTCCTTCCAGTTAACTTGTTGTGATTTAGAAATTATGAAAACAATGCTTGTATATCTACTCTAAATTAGGTTCAGGAACATCATCTTAAAACATGTGTGGTTTGTGTGGTTTCATAATACTCAGAATACTAAAATCGTTACTCCATTTCAACTATTGTCACAGCTCCTGGTTAATGTAACACTAAGATCTTAAGATTTCGCTTTGTGAAAAGAAAATGATTTTTGACAGCAGCCTTGTGTTCAAAGCCCAACGTGTTGGGGACAGAGGCTGCACATGTCAGGGGAGACACGCTGCTAATGGCTTCCACACACACACTTACACAGGCACACCACATACACAGGTGCACACACACAGGTGCACACACACAGGCACACACGCACGCAGACACAACACACACACACACACCATACACACACTTCACGCACACACTGACACACACACACACACACTTTGAACTAACCCAGTGAGTCCTGTGTCCATGAACTGACTAGAGGGAGACCTTGCACACAACCCATCTGTAACTTAACAATAATCTAAATATTTAGGATAAAAAAAACATATTACCTTTTTCATGTAAAAAAAAAAAAAGTCAAGGTTCACCATCTGAATGGAACAAAGGCGAGGAGCAAATGAAATGAAGGTCTTTTTGACGTTGGTCTCTTAAGTTGAGTGTGCTCTGGTGTGACTGCGGGGAACATGCCATTTTGTGTATGTATCCAACTCCATTCTGACCCCTGGAGCATTTGCGGCGACTTGGTAGTGAATAACAGCGGTTGATATTCAGCCTCAGCGTGATGTGATCTCTGTCACTCTGTCACTCGGATGCAGAGAGAGGAAACACATTCATGCAGTATTTTCCCTCGTAGTGGAGATAGAGAGATAAAGGCAGAGGCGTACACTGTTGGCTGACCGGTCATAGTGCATTCTAGAGAAGCACAGAGCGGCGGCTTCGGCAACAGCTGTGAGCACGTAGGCGATAATCATCTTTTGAATTTTTTTTTTTTTAACACCCTGTGAGACTTTTGAGCTGTGAGGGTCTAAAGATGTAGGAGATGTAAAAAACAGGAGAAATATAGTAGTCATCCAGCATCTACCTGTCTCTCGGTGAGGTCCAGGTTGACGGCGATCTCGTAGCGTCTCAATCGGGTCAGGTAGTTGTGGTGGCAGAACTCGGCCTCCAGCTCGCGGATCTGCTCTTTGGTGAAGGCGGTGCGCTCCTTCCTGGGCTTACCACCGCTCCCCTCCAGCCTGGAGCTCCCGTCCTGGGACTCTGCAATGAAAAACAGCACATTTTCCACATACAGCAGCTGATTCTCCCAAAGAAAACAGCAGAGGGGCCCGGGGAAGGGAAGGATTGGAGCGTGGGGGTTGATGATCGACTGGAGTGACATGAAAAAAGAGGAAAGCAAGGAAATTAGAGGTGTCAATCAAACAACGCTAATGTCGACTGTGTTGTAAGACGAGGAAGTACGGTGTGCGATAGACACTAAAGAACAAGCATTGTTGGCCTTTCTTTTCATTGAAATGTACTTATTTAAAAGGGACATTGTATGAATGAATATACAATTAAATATGCAAGAATATGGCAACTTTGCATAAAGAGATTTTACCTCTGGTTTTTCCCAGGGCCACTCTCTTGAATCTTTCCTGTCTAGTTTTATGCCGGTCTTCTACATCACATATGCCAAGTGAACAACACAATGCTTTTCACATTTGCAGCTTTTCTATTTTTGTCGAAATCACAGAAAATCAGCGTTAATAGCTGCACAACAGCTACACCCACAGACTCTGCGATCTGCGGCCGGTCGTGTGCTAGCATGACCAGAGAGGATGTGTGATTGTGCTGAGCACCATTATTCAGAGGGAGCGATATTTTTATACACATTATTTTTAATTGAGTCGAAAAATCTTCCTGAATATCTTTACCTTCCCTTCTTGTCTGACTTTTTCACTAGTTTTCACATGCTTCTGTCACTTTTTTCAGAAAGTGCAGCGGTTAGACCGTTAAAGCTTGTGCTTCACAGTCAGAAGGTCCAGGATCTGTGTAGAGTTTGCATGTTCTCCCTGTGTCTACCCCGGGTGCTCCGGTTTCCCATACCACTAAAAACATGTACAATAGGTCTGAACGTAATGAGTGAGTGAAAGGATGGTGCTGGTTGGTAGCTTTGATGAGCCAGTGTGTTGGGCGTCTTGCTTCCATCATCACTGTGTGGAGAGAATGGAAAAATACAGTACAAAGTGCTTTGGGTGACTTTGGTCTTTGAATTGCGCTATATAAATAAAGACGAACCAGTCACATAGTGAGATGTTTTCTATTAAGATGACATGGAAACATGTCATCGTGGTCTTTGGAGTTAAAAAATGTGACTTTTACAAGACTTTGTACTGAGACAAATAAATAATAATGGAAAAAGGCAGTGATTGACCTTCTACCCCGCAGTCCTTTGTACTTGTCTGCATATTTGTACTGTTTTCCTATCTCGACGGTGAGATCATAGTATTTCCAGTCGCACTAATGTCCTTGTGGTCAGTTAATGGTGAAAAGGAAAGCTCTGTGGCACGAGCCTCCAGCAGCCAATGATATTTTCAACAGCTTCATAAAAATCTATCCAAAATTGGGGAGTTGGCTTCATGCAGGAAAAGTCAACACGTGAATTCTCATAGTCTGTTTTAAAGTCCTATAGATAATCTTTTTGGAGAACTGTGAAGCAGTGAAATCATGGTAGTTATAATATATGACACTCATGGTTCATTATTACGTATTTAGAACATAATGTAAATGTAAAAGTGATCTTTTTTGTCCTGGGCTTTTCTCTGCTACAAGCCTCCACGACGGTCAGAGCTTGTTTCCACTACCCCCCACGCTGCTGATTTATCATTAACGCACTTCTAAAATGCAGTGGCGTTGGGGCGTTGATCAGTGTGGACGGAGCCAAAAATCCTCTTGGAACAAGGATAAAAGCTCAGATAATAACAATTTGTCTGAAAAGTCTCCTTTAAAAGCTTGTAACTGTGTAATAATTGTAATCTTTTGTATTTTACGCACTCAAAGTTTCTTGACCTGTTTGGTTCCAGTCATATACATTCTGTTTAATCCACAAATTATGCAGAGGCCATTTAGCATCTTCACTGTTCTTTATCCATTTTTAAACATATAATTTTAATTCCCAGTAGCAATAATCTCTGAAGCATTAAAAAAATGTAAATTCACCAACAACAGATTATGGAATCATACAATTTGTACACAGGAAATGCAATAATAACAAACACATGGAAGCCGTTGGTCCATCGGGAGGGCAAAGAAACTCCAGGGAAACCTTGGGATCTGCTCCCACACAACAGACCAGAACTCAGGCTGTAGAACGAGAACCAGTCCACAAGTGCAGATGAAAGATGACTGTACATATTAAGTACAGTTATATGACATTAGCACACTCACATCAGACACACAGAGATTTCAATGGTTTATTTCATTGCCGTTTGACGAGTTCTTAAGACCAGTGCATATTCAAGGCGGTAGTTTGAGAGCCTGTGCAGTTAGCGTGAGGAAATTGGATTGAGGTCAGGCCCTGTGAAGTGTTGAACGTGTCAGTTATTTCAGAAACGCTGCCAAAGGGGGGCGACCGGCGGAAAGTTTCGTGTGGTTCGGCTGCAGCCAGAAATGCGCTGCTTTCACCGTTCATAGAAAGCACATGGGCTCAGAAGTGGGGAAGTCCGAGTGGTGCCAAAAACCTCCACTCACACTTTCCCCTGCGGAGTCGGCTCCAGAATGTGGCCAGAACGCAGCAGTCGTGACATCTGCCGGGGTTCCACACGCATCATGCCTAATCTGTGTTCAGTTTAAGTCCAGAATGTTTGGACAAATGATAAATTAAGTAAGACCTAAGTGGAAGGAGTGACTCTCTGATCTCGTGGGAACAGTGCGTGATAACTACATTTACGGACAGTGGTCCTGTGTTATGTTTGCATTTCCTGTGTTTGATTCTCTAATCTGTCCTCAGTCCTAATCCGTCCTGAGAGACAACTGCTGTTGTGATTCAGGACTATACAAAAGGACTATGCAAAGCGGATCCTTACGAGACATCAAGCAGTGATGCATTTAAGAGCACAGGGAACAAACATGCTTATATTAGAAACATATGTATTTGGACAGGTACAGTATAAGTCACTCACTCATTGAGTTCAGGATCAGTACACAGCCCCTCGCTGCACAACACGTGTTGTGCTGTTTAAGTTACGTGAAGTAAAAGTGAAAATGATTTAAAGAATGTGTTTGCAAAGTAAACATCATGTTGTGTGGTTCGATTTGTCGAGTCCGTGTTAGAATGTATGTGTAACATCTTTAAAGATGTTCTGGGTTGTTGTCCTGTGAGTTCTGACGGGAACATGTTTGAAAGATCCAAGTTCCGACCTCTGAACCAAAGCAAATAAACGGTCTTTCATCAATTACTTTGGTCTGAGTTGAGTCACAATTCAAACCAAAATCATGCTATTAACCTGTGGCTGCGTGGGCCTGGTCCGGGGCCTCCTGGGCTCCTGAGTGAAGTCCGTACTCCAGAGGGTCTCCTCCTGAGCGCAGGGCGGGGGGCCACGCTGGAGGGAGCTGGTGGAGGCTGCTGGACAGGGGTCTCTGGTCTGTGCTGAAGCTCCCTCCCTCCTCTGCTCCATTGGGGTAGCCACAGGGCGGAGAGGGGCTGGGCAGCTCCAGGTACGAGTGCAAGACATGGGACGGAGCGTGAGGGCTCCGCAGGCAACTCAACACTGACTGATCCATGCTAGCTGTTAGCATCCATACGCCCTGCATGAACATACAACCATCAAAAATACAATCTACTTCATTTTAAGACTGGGGTATGTGACTTTTCTCTATCAATAAAACATCTCCCAACAGAGAATGTTGTGAACAAATCAGACAACAATCTTGAAAGAAAGAGCCCTGAGAGTCAATATTTGACACTGAGGGCGGCTCTTTCTGTTTTTTTTAGTGGAGGCAAAAATACATGCATCTGAAAACTATACACTGAGCTGTTTTGAGAGCGAGGAACTAGTTAAATTAGTTAAGGTTTTTTGCAGTTTGAAAGTTAGGTACCCTAACTTTAAAGATAGGACAAGATTAAAGTCCCACATATTATGCTCACAACTGTTTACAACTAGTTTGGACAAGAAAGTTAAACACTGTTCAGTTGCACGTTTTGTGAAGCCGTACGGTCCCTAAAAAGAACAATATCAAAGGGTGCATTATGAAAATCACCTTTTCACTGCTTTTGAACATGTTTTAATAGGGTTTTTTCCTGTACGCACTCAAAGTTGTTTTTAGCATCGTAATCATTTATACAGTATCCACCACAGTGCAACGCCCAATGTTTTTCTTTGTTCACTATTTAGACTTGCTCTATTTTTGAAAGACGTGACTCTATATCTACTGTACAGCGTCTCTCTGACTTTAGCTCATGAATACTTTAAGCTAAATCAAGATTGACACATTACTATTGCTCAATCTAAAAGTCCAACAACAGAAAGCATTCAAATGTGACAAATATGTTGCTCCTGCTCATTAACTACATTACTGCCCAATGAGCATTCTGCAGAAAGTTGGCTATAGTCTTCGCAGTTACGAGATCAACATAAAGTATTCTCACTTTAAATAATGGTTCAAATCCAAATTATGAAGTTAAAATTTTCTGATCTGGTATCTGCCATTTCAACAATAGGAATAGTGTAAATAGACTAGAAGTCGAACCTTAAGAACAAATCCTTCTTAACAATCCAACCTTTTGTCAGCGTACCGCATTGTGATGATTGAAATCCAGTTACAATCCACAGATGAAGACGTGCAGTACTCTGATGACAGCAACGGAGGCTCCAGGAGACGAATAGAAATGTGCAGGCAGCTTTAGGGCTCTTGTTTTCAGAGAGAGGAGGAGACCCAGGCCTGATCAGAGGGAGGGGAGAGGTGGAGACCCAGGCCCGATCAGAGGGAGGGGAGAGGTGGAGACCCAGGCCCGATCAGAGGGAGGGGAGAAGTGGAGACCCAGGCCCATGTGTCTCAGAACCACATGAGGATTGTAATGTGAGAGGTTGGCTGGCTCTGCTACTGACTGCATGCACAAGAAAGTGTGGAAGCAAAGTTGTGTTGTTTGGAGTAAATATGTCAAGCAACTTCAAGAATGCGAACAATAATAATGATCCCTGCACTTTGAATGCTCTGCAAACAGCAGCATGTTCTGAATAGCTCAGTTATCTTCAATTCAATGTATTCTTGTATAGCCCTAAATCACAACAGCAGTCCTTTCAGAGAACTTAACGGAACCGTTGAAATTGTCAACACAGATCAGAGGACACAAAAATTATAGAACTCATATGTATCGGCCAAAAGGGAGAGACCAATGTCCTTGAATGTTGATAAAGTGTCCTAGATCATCACCACAGTTCTTCTTGCATCAGCAAGAAAAAAACTCTGAAACCCAGTGGGAAAAAAGTGAGAAATCTCGGGGAGATAAACATTGAGAGAGGGATCCAGGATCTAAGCTATTGAACGAGGACCAAGGCCATGCTGCGGTTGTAGAACAATAGCTCTGAAAGTAGGATCTCGTTCAGGGTTTTACATTGAACCAGGGCAGAGGAGATCACCTGAACCAGAGCAGATTGTGTGTAACCGTTGGTTGTTTGTCCCAATTGGGCCACCGTATTACGTAATTCGTAGCCGGCAACCCGCACTTCCGCAGTCCTCAGTTATTTCCTAGCATATTTAAGCAGGCTAGACGCGATGCACGGGTAGGCTGCCCTCCCGATCACCAACTTTATCCGCTCCGGTCCCGTTTCTCTCACAGCTAGAAGCTGTAGGCCGGGTAGGTTGTTGTTTGTTTGTGTTCGTATTCTAGCTGGTAAATGTCATTCTGTTTGTGTTTTTAGACGCCATCAAGTGACCCCATTAACCTGTCCGGGGTGCGTCAGCCTGGGAGGGCATCTTTTTCTGCCAGCTCAGACTGTTTTAAGCTCTAGGTATTTGGACTTTTTATAAGGGTTAAATTGGAGTCGCATGTAGATATTAATTGTTTGTTTCTTTTCTAGAGTCAGCAGGCTACATGTCGGTTTTATTTGGGTCTAATGATAGGGTTATTTAGTCAGGTACCGCCGGGACGAGTCTGTACCCCTTACATTTGATTTTGAGTTGATTCTCTCTTTTTTTTTGGGTATTTACTAAGACCGGTGTACGGTACGATTTGACACTGTTCTCCCTGTGATCCAGGACTGGTTCGAGCGTGGGTGCCTGCCTGGTGGAGGTTTGGTGATAGAGTCTCACACTGCTGCACCATCACTCCCCTCGTGTGCTGTGGTATTTTTCGCACTCACCCTCACTGCATGTTTTAGTTATCCTAGATTTGGTTTAGCGTTTGTGTGTGTGTGTGTGTGTGTGACTGCACGGTGTGTAGTGTGTACTCTGTGCCATTTACATATTTGCCCTCTGACCGCGTGCACCCGCGGCCGTCTAGTTCTGGCCACTCTTAAAAGCATTTGTTCAAGTTTACCACTGCTATTTATTAGAACTGGAATTTTAACATAGCCCCCAATAAACATAATCTTTTCATACATTTCTATTAACGTGTTTTTTTTTCCCTTTTAGTAAATTAAAAATAAATCTTTCAAAACGGTCATGGTATGTGTCTCTGTTTAACTATTCACTGCACCCTTACCTGTGTACAATAAATCACGGCTCAATTAGGCTCTCCCTCGGTTACAATCTGGCGTTGCTCGGCAGGGTTGCAGTGATGGTTAAACTGAGTTTATAGATTTATTTTATTCATTAGACCCAAATGAGACGACATTGGCCTTGGAAGAACCAGCAAATTCTCCTACGACTGGACCGGCCCTCTGCTCTACAAAGTCTATACTGCACCCTTGTACCTTACCTCCATGGCTAATGAGCAGGAGCTCAGAGATTTGGTCCAGCAGCTCCGGGCTGAGAATGGGCGACTACAGGCAGCTGCAACCAATGCTGGGAGCTCTGGTTCGACGAGCCCTTCAAGTGTTAATGACTCTGCACCTGTGGAACGTTTGTTTTATATTCCTAGGGAGCGCAGGTGTCTGCCCTTTAGGGGGACATCAGGCATACCAATTGAAGATTGGGTGGACGAGATGAGGGCCACATTGAGGACAAGGCGCCTAAACTCAGTAGATCAAGCCTACTTTATTGTTGATCATTTGGAGGGTGAGGCGAAGGATGTTCGCTACAGGACGAGAGCAGAGCGGGAGGACCCTGAGAAAATTCTGTCAATTTTGCAGGAATTGTATGGTTGTGCTCGTTCTTATGTTTCCTTGCAACAGTGTTTTTTTTCCAGGAAACAACAGGAAGGAGAGTCTTTGCAGGAGTTCTCACATGCATTATGCTGTCTGATGGAGAAGGTTGAGCGCAGTGCCCCTAGAAAAATGCCGGATGCCCCTATCCTCTTAAGAGATCAGTTTGTCGAGCATGTGTTAGACCCCCACCTGCGCAGGGAGTTAAAGAGGTTAGCAAGAGAACTCCCACAGTGCACTCTTATAGAGATCAGGGCTGAGGCCATACGTTGGGAACGTGAGGGTAGGCCGGATGAACCCAGGGGGAGGAGCTATTCGGTCCCATCACTGAGTGCAGTTCACTATTCCCGCCCTCGCCCTCCTAGTCTAACATCACATTCGGAGTTGGCAGAACTACGGCAACTCCTAGTAAAGCAGCAGGAGCAGTTGGATAAATTAACCCAGGGTCTATTAGCATTGCAGGGGGGCTCCCAACCCGCAGCAGGAAATGTTAGGTCTCGCACAGTGATTTGCCTTTGCTGTCAAAAACCGGGCCATATAGCCAGAGAATGTGATAATGAGAGGGTTATCATCCAGAGCCGGTTGTCACAGGTGGCCGCTGCAACCTCTGACATGCAGGAGGCGGGAAACTAAAACCCCCTGATGCGAGGAGCCAAGCATCAGGAGGGGAAGATGAGGGCTCACAGTCTTCCAAACCAGACCCCCACCACATGGCAGAGAGCCTCATTGCTCCATGCCCAGAGGTAACAGTCAGTTTGGGGGGGGTAACTGCTAAGCTACTCTTGGATACCGGGTCCATGGTCACCACAATACCAGAGAGTTTTTTTGATAAGCATTTCAAAGGCACCCCTAGTCCTTGTAACTGGTTAGAGCTAACTGCGGCAAATGGTTATGATATTCCATATGTGGGTTTTGTTCAATTGGATGTGTCTGTATGTGGGCAAATTGTGCCCAAGCGGGGAATTCTGGTTGTTAAAGATCCTCCAGGGCCACAGGGGGTTAGGGGAGTGCTAGGAATGAACGTGATAAAGGAGTGCTACCACCAGTTGTTTGGTGAACATGGTGTTGACCTGTTTAATCTCCCTGAGGTACAGCAGGCTTCAGTAGCATGGCAGCAGGCCCTACGTCACTGCCATCAGACAGAGCTGTGTGATTCACCTAGGAACGGCCTTGCACGTGTGAGAGGTAGGCGCCCTGTCATAATTCCAGGAGGGTCAATGAAATGGATTGCTGCAACTTGCTCTGCTCATTTCAGCCAGTCCACAGGTACTGTTTTGGCCGAGCCAGTGACTGAGAGCTACCCCCTTCCTGAGGGCTTGTTGGTCTCCCCAGCCATGGTCACAGTCCAGAAAGGTACTGTACACATCCTTATTGTTAATGTGGGTCAGAGTGGGGTTGCCTTGTATCCTCATCACCCTGTCGCTGTGCTTAGCCAGGCAGAGGTGGTTAGCCTACCAGAGGGTGTCTCGTTTAATAGGC